GGAAAAATGCCCCGAGCGCCGGCGAGTTCGCTGAACCCGCGATGCTCCAAAGAGCATCCGAGCGGGGGAACCGGCACAGCACGGCATGGCACGGCACGGCATGGTATGGTATGGTACAGTATGGCACAGCACGGCACGGTATGGCATGGTATGGCACGGCCACCCCCTGCCCTGCCTGCACCCACGGGTGGCACCAACCAGGACCGACTGGAATGGACTGGGACTGACTGGGACAGAGACAGGACAGGTCCTACCCAGGTAGTTGCGGCTCTTGTCCGTCACCTTGATCTGGGTGGCCCCAGCCGGGATCTTGGTCACGTTCATGTACCCAAAATAACCTGCTGGGGGTGGGGGGTGAGGGCAGAGTCAGGGCAGAGCTGGGGCATGGCCCGAGGGGACAGCCCGGGGACAGGGGGGGACAGGGCTGGGGTGGGAGGGGACCGGGCACAGGAGATCTGGGTCTGGGGTACCCCCAGCCCCGTCCCACCAGTGTCATTAACCCAGCCAGGCCCCATGCGTTGGGACACCCAGGGCACCCAGTGATGGCCCTGGGGGGACCCTGGGGTGTCACCTGGGGCTGTCTGCCCTCCCGGGCATCACCATCCCCATGGCATGGCCGGGCACCCCATGGGCACGGGGAATGGACACACAGACCCTGGGTGCCCCCAGGGACCCCTGAACACCCCATGGGGAGCCCAGAGACCCCCCAAGGAGCCCCCAGAAGAGCGATACCCTCTGCAACGAGGCAAAATCACCCCAGTTGGGGGGGTCCCCTCCAAGCCCACTGTCCCCCAGGTGTTGGGGATGGGAAAGGATCAGGGACGAGGCCCCAGCGGCGATGGGGAGACGGAGAGGGGACGGGGTTATGGGGGGCCAGGTGATGCCCTGGGGACGGGGAAGTGGGAGGACAGGGGAGCCAAGAGCCAAAGCATTCACCCATGGAGGGGGCCGGGGCAATGGTTCATTCACCGGAGGAGGGGTCCGCGCCCTGGAAGAGCCGGTGCACGAAGAGACACGAGCCGTGGCCACCACCGCACTGGCCGCAGGCGTCGGGCCGCGCGCCCGAGCCCAGGATCCCGTCACAGCCCACGCTCTGCGGGGACCCGAGACGCCACCTCAGGGTGGGGGGCTCCGAGCTTGAGGGGAGAGGAGGGGGGGAGAGGGGGGGGGATCCCAGGGAGGTCCCAGCCCCACGTGCACCCACCAGGCAGCGCCCGCCGACGCAGAGGGGGCCAGGTGATGCCCTGGGGACGGGGAAGTGGGAGGACAGGGGAGCCAAGAGCCAAAGCATTCACCCATGGAGGGGGCCGGGGCAATGGTTCATTCACCGGAGGAGGGGTCCGCGCCCTGGAAGAGCCGGTGCACGAAGAGACACGAGCCGTGGCCACCACCGCACTGGCCGCAGGCGTCGGGCCGCGCGCCCGAGCCCAGGATCCCGTCACAGCCCACGCTCTGCGGGGACCCGAGACGCCACCTCAGGGTGGGGGGCTCCGAGCTTGAGGGGAGAGGAGGGGGGGAGAGGGGGGGGGATCCCAGGGAGGTCCCAGCCCCACGTGCACCCACCAGGCAGCGCCCGCCGACGCAGAGGTCCGGGGAGCCGGGGCCGCAGCGGGTGCCATCGAGCACCCGGCCGAAGGTGTAGTAGAAGTTGTGCCCCACGGCCAGGCAGTTGAGGTCGCAGAGGTTGGGGGCTGCCGGAGCCCAACAGGAAGGGAAGGGGGTGACGCCAGTGGCCGTGGTGACCCCCCCCAAAACCCCGGTCAGGCCAGGGGGGCAACCTGCCACCCCCCAGGACTCACCTCCATGGAAGGGCACCCAGCGGTACCGCGCCGTGGTGCCCAGGACGGGCTTGTTGTCGTAGAGGGAGCACTGCATGGCACGGAAGGGCACGGAGCCCCCCGGGCAGCCCTGCGGGAGCAGCGGGATGGGACCCGGGGGGACCGGGAGAACGGAGCCCCATGGGATGGGGGACCGGGATGGGCCACGGGGGTGGCCCTCGCACGCTCACCTGGAGCTGGCAGAGCCGGTACTGCCGCGGCTCGCCCGGGCACGAGTCCTCCTCGGTGGACCTACGGCCGCAGCATCACCACAGTCAGCACCCCCACCCCGAGCACCCCTTCCTGCACCCCACATCCCCCCCGGGGACCTGCCCCATCCTCAGGGATGGGCCACTGAGCCACCGGGACACCAAGCCACCAAGCTGCAGGGGGCTGGGAGCGATGCACCCCCACGGGGGAGCAGGATGGGGGACCACCATGTCCCACGTGGGGCCACATCCTGCTGGGGCTGCACCCCAAGGTGGGGGGCAGCAGGGTCCAGCTCCCCCCATCGTCGTCCCCCCCTCCAAAATCAAGCTGAAATCTGGCCAGGGCGCAGCGTGGTGCTGAGGGTCCTTGGGGACACATGTGGGGGCGGTGGCAGCGCCACGGGATTTGGGTGCCCCACGGGGTTTGGGTGCTGCTGGGGGTGCAGGGATGGGCACGTGTGGGGGTGGTGGCAGCACCATGGGATTTGGGTGCCACACGGGGTTTGGGTGCTGCCGGGGGTGCAGGGATGCCCCGAGGGGGGGGTCCATGCTGCCCTGTCCCCCCACTCACCGCAGGCACCTCCGGGTGCGGAGGGCGACGCCGTCCCCACAGGAGCTGGAGCAGGAGCTCCAGGGTCCCCAGGGCCCCCAAACCCCCCGGGGTCGAGCAGGGGCTGGGGGCTCGGGGACCCACAGCGGTGCCCCCAGGGCTGGGTCCTGCGTGGAGGAAGGTGACAGTTCAGCACCGAGGTCGGGA